GGTGCATGATGTGTGCCATTTTTGTCCCATTTAAAAGGAAGTAGAGCTGGACTGCTGCGTCTGTTGACAAATCTGTTTACAAAGGTGTCTGTTTAAAAAGACACTCTATATTCCAGCTAAAACTAGAACTATTTTATATAGCACTTTTAAATTACACATATATTGTATAATTATTTAAAATTAAATTTTTATGACCCCATATTAATAACTATGAAAGACATGTAGAATATAGGAAGTCATGGCCTAATGGTTAGAGAGTCGGACTCGTAACCCAAAGGTTGCGGGTTCAAGTCTCGTACCGGCAGGGATTGTAGGTGGGGGGAGTGAATGTACAGCGCTCTCTCCCACCTTCAATACCACGACTGAGGTGCCCTTGAGCAAGGCAACTGCTCCCCCCAACTGCTCCCCGGGTGCTGCAGCATAAATGGCTGCCCACTGCTCCGGGTGTGTGTTCACGGTGTGTGTGTTCACTGCTGTGTGTGTGCACTTTGGATGGGTTAAATGCAGAGCACTAATTCCAAGTATGGGTCACCATACTTGGCCACATGTCACGTCACATTTTGTACTATTTATGTATTAAGACAATAATACTTCATCAAGAATGAAATTGTTCAAAAGCGACAGTATAGACTTTTACATTGTCCATAAAAAAAAAAAAAAATCAAATAAATCTGAAAGAAATTATCACAATTTCAACCAAAAAAAAATGAGCAGAACAACTGTTTGCAACATTGATCATCAGAAATGTTTCTTGAGCACTAAATCAACGTATTAAAATAATTTCTGAAATATCGCGACATTGAAGACTGGAGTAATTTTTCAGGTTTTCGGCTTCGCCATTACAATAATCATTACACTTTGATATATTAATACAATATCTATGGCATTATATATCTTATTTATTATAGTTTAAGTAAATATTAAAATAAAAATTAGTCCATTTAAATAGTATTAATATTTCACAATATTACTGTTTTCATTGTATTTTTGTTCAAATAAGCATAAGAGAAGAAAAATAACCAACTAAATAAAATTATATTTAAATAAAATATATATATACAGTATAGATTTTGAAAATATTTACATATATATATTTTTTTATAAATATATTTAATAAATAAACAACAGTTTTACAAACATAACATTTTTCTTAAGTATATACGTGCATGTGTGTGTATTTATATACAGTATACTTAATAAATATACACAGTACACACACATATATTATGTAAACAAAAACATTTATTTTGGATGGGATTAATCACGATTAATTATTTGACAGCTCTATTTAAAATATATATTCATCTATGTATCAACTACCACAGCATATATTTTAAGGCGTTTAAAACCATTGTACCGGCATAGTAGTGTCAGTGTGAACGAGTGCAGACCCCCATATGTCCCAGCATGCATGCATGAGAGTGTGAGAATGAGAGCGAGGGGGTACTGGCATAAAGACGATGTGTCTATTTGACAAAAGGATGCCTGCAAAGCACTCTGGGATACATTAGGGATTAAACCCCATTTTCACAGAAGCCCACAGAAAGGGGTGCATTCATCTTTTATCAAAAAGAAAACAACAACACCCAGCCCCCTCCTCTTCCTCTCCTCTCCTCACCCTCCCTCAGTCTCTTCCCTTCTGCTCTGCCAGACCAGACAGACCCAAGGGCTTGTCATGACCTCATCTCATCCAGATTTACCCCCACATACCCCGTGGCTTTCCTGTGACCTCAGATCCAACAAGCATCCCAGATAAACCAGGCCTTGCTGACACACAAACACACAGGCTTCACTGAGTTGAATGCAATCGCTTAAAATACATCTTGACCTTGGAAAACTATTCACAGCAAAAAATGAAAGCCAAGAGTTTTTGCAACCGAATCTGCTGTGATTAATGAGCCGATGTCTCTAAAGGAACTTTACAAATTGATGATGCATTGCAGTATTGAATTACATTCATCTGATCTCTCCACACCACAATGTTGGAACCTTGAAGATCAATTTCTATTAATGCAGCCTTGAGTTTCTTTTCATCGTGGATTTATTTTTTGGAAACAAGTGACTGTTGTTGGCCATTTGACCATACAGCGCTGGAGAGCTCTGGATGTGGTCAGTGACAGCTATAGCTAGTGAGAAAAGGCAACCATGGCTGCAATTTCACACAGCTGGATGCCATTTCTTACTGGTCCTCTGGAGAGTGGTTGCTTTGACAAAAAAAATTGTTTTATGAAGTGGACAATAAACAGCCCTACTTGACATATGATCTTGAAATGTGCCTCCATGACCTTCATTTCTGTCTGAAAGAAGTCCAACTCTTAAAACAGTGAAAACAACTAAAAAAAAACGTGTGTGACAGGCTGGCAGCACCATGGTACAATTATGGTGTCAAATGGTAATACCGTGGTAGTCAATCAATTTGGCTGGACGATGTATATAATATTCACAAATTATTAAAATATTATTTTGTTAAAGTCTGCATGAAATGAAAATTCACTATTTTTGAAATGTGTATTTTTGAACTTACTGCAAACAATTTATGGCTGCAATTTTTATTTCTTTATTTTTTCTTTTGACTTTGATCAAAATGTCATAAATCCGATCTTCTGGTGAAACGACAGACTTCTCTCTGGTGATGTAAGTCCCTGTGGACACTTCAGTTTCCTTACGATTTTAAAAATCTAAAATTAAGCAACTTCACAATGATTTTTTTTGTTCTTTTCATTCGACCATTACATTTACATTTGTACATTTAGTCATTTTGCAGACGCTTTTATCCAAAGCGACTTACAATTGGGGAATACATAAAGGGATTCTTCTTAAAGAGGCAAACAGACACAGGAAGTGCTGAAATACCAAGTTTTAGGCATTGTTCAAAGAAGTACAAGCTAGAAAGGGAAGGAATAAGCATTCCGGACCATTAAAGGGATAGTTCACCCAAAAATAATAATTCTGTCATTAATTACACACCTTCATGTCGTTCCAAACCCGTAAGACATTCGTTCATCTTCAGAACAAAAAGTAAGATATTTTTGATGAGTTGTTTTCATTCAGATCAATGCGTAAACAGTGTACACAACGTATCCGCGTGGCGCAACTGACAAAGAACAGCATACGTCGTTTACGTTCAGTGGATACTCTCTGAAATGGTGCCAGGGTGACGCCGAGGAGACAAATTGTTGAATAAAGTCGTTATTTTTGTTTTCTTTGCGCACAAAAAGTATTCTCGTAGCTTCGTAAAATTACGGTTGAACCCCTGATGTCACACGGATTATTTTAACGATGTCCTTGCTACGTTTCTGGACCTTGACCATGGTAGTATGCTTGCTGTCTATGGGAGGGTCAGAGATCTCTCAGAACTCATCAAAAATATCTTCATTTGTGTTCTGAAGATGAATGAAGGTCTTACAGGTTTGGAACGACATGAGGGTGAGTAATTATTGACAGAATTTTCATTTTTGGGTGAACTAACCCTTTTATTACCATTTTATTAAACTAGTATTGTCATCATCACACAGGTATGAGTGTTACGTTTTATTTAAATGTAAGCAGTCAGATTTCTTTCAGAGTTCGTATGCTTGATTAATTTCTATGAATCATTCAATGAAATGATTCAAAACTTTGTTTAAGTGATTCATCACTCCTAAACACTTTTGGAATTCTCTGCATGGCATATTATAATTCAATTTGAATATACAGTGGGTACGGAAAGTATTCAGACCCCCTTAAATTTTTCACTCTTTGTTATATTGCAGCCATTTGCTAAGATCATTCAAGTTCATTGTTTTCCTCAATGTACACACAGCACCCCATATTGACAATCTACCTGGCAACAATGGCTGTTTGGTTTAAATTATGGTTAAAAATATCTAATAATAATAATAATAAATCATAATAATAACCAAAATTAAATAAAAATCTCCCTTTTAAGGCATTTTAGAGCATTCACATAAATTTCGAGAATATCATCAAAAGGTTAAAAAAACGGAACATTTATTTAGCTACATCGCCCCAACCGAATACTGAATAATTAATTTCCATATTAATATGCTACAGAACTTATTAATATGGTATACCGTGATGCAATGCTGACATGATGCTCAACACCACTGCACAGAGCATATCAGCTTAGACCATGTTAAAACATCTAATGGGATGTTTACACTAAGAACCATACTGACAGACAGGTTGCGTTTCCAATTTTTGGCAGAATCCCCTTAATGATGCTGCAACTGAGATACAACAGCAATCCTGGATGCCTCTGCATTATACATGTGACCAAATGTCGCATATGCATGTAGAAATGCATTATATATGCAAAGGCACATAATGTCTCCTACAGGGTGTTGATATCCATCTCTGTGGGTAGGTAAATACACAAACGCTGACTATCTCCACACGGCGCCTGAGCATAACAATTTCTGAACAGTAACTGCTCACTGATTGGACAGTTTGTTCTCGTGTGCAACATGAGGAGCTGGGTAAGATGGTGAAGTCATTCAAACTGGTTATAAATCAATGCCATTCTTAGGCGTAAAAAAAAAAACTTCCAAGCTTGACCAGCATGGATTTTCAAGGTAGTTTAAGCTAGGTTAGTACTAATCAAGTTACAGGGTCAAAAGCTTTTAAACGGTCAAATACTGTCTGACTGCATTATCACTGACTCTTCTAGGACATTTCACTGATGTATTATCACCAGTTCCACACATTTTATGTTTGTTATTCATAAGGATCACCATTTAGTAGTGCTGGGCGGTATACCGGTTCATACCGAATACCGGTTTTTATTTTTGTTATATTTAGCTGTCCGTATATGGATTATGTGACACTCTGAATGCTAACTAGTACCTCAAAACCTTAACTAGTTGTCACGCTGCAGTAAAAGCCTTGAGAGGATGACGTCATGCTCGAGAACATCCTTTGATCTTGCCGCTCCGCACGCACACACCGATCTCGATGTTGCCTCGTATTTCCTAATCATGTAGCACTTGAAGTCGACCTACCTTTTGATATTCCGAGTCCTCCGGGCGGAAATCGCTGCTGGTCAGCTGAAACTGTAGGTTGAAGTGCGGGAGGCGATGGAAAAGGTTAACCCACCACGGCGGAGAATAATTGACCACTGCAGCCATAGTGTTCACGCAGATCTGGGACTGGAAAACACACGATGATGATGCATTCAGCAGCCAATTCCAGACTTGAGCTGCTTCATCACGTCGCATTGCATCACATGCCTTTAAAGTGTCTCTTTACACGCCGCTTCCAGTGAAGCAGGGGTTAAAATCTGCACCAAAGACCCTCAAGCCAACAAATGGACAGAATTTCGTCGCCAACACACATATTTAGCTACATCTGCTGTTCTTACTTCTAGTAATGAATCAGTAAAATGCATCGTTTATATGCTAGGACTGAAACTGCAATCCGTTCATGCAGGCTTTTGTTATCAAGAAGCCATCCTTACCCGTTATCAGCCTAAACCATAGTTCCAGCAAAAACCTGCGGTGATCTCAACAACAGACAGAAAGCTCCTGTTCTTCGATGTTTTGGGCGAGAGCCGGCAGCAGCAGCAGCAGCAGCAGGTTTCTCAGTGCTCAGTTAGTCCAGCGCAGCCCTTGCGTCACTGCCGTCTGCATGTTATCCAGCGATTCACTCACTGCAGCTGAAGGAGAGCTTTAAACGCCTTTGATGTCCACTGCCGCTTTAGTTTTAAGGCGGTCCCGCGCCGCTTTCTTCCAGGAGACGCGTGTGATTAGCGCTTGAGCATTTCTGTCGCGTTAAAACTGAGGTGCATGATAGTCGCGATGCGATGGTATGAACTAGTGATTTGTGAGCAGCCTACAGTAAGAAACGGGCGTGATTGTCAATCATCCACGGACATGTATTTCGATACACAAATGGATTTATATGTTTACTGACCTCTAGTGGCCAAATGACGTAATTTAAAGTCATATCACTTTGGCCATACTGTCGTTTTTATTGTTCTTCTCCACAGTTTTCCTGCTTTTTAACTATTTAATTGCTTCATTTAATTTATACTACATATAAGCATATTATAAACGTTTTTAAAATACGTTATACGTTATAAATAGGGTAAAGTTTGATCAATTGATCAAATACTTTGATCAAAGTAATTTTGCATAATAACTTGATCCGATTGGTCCTCCTTCTTGCATTTATTTTCGTACTGAATTGTGATTGGTCTTTTTTTAACTTGCAAATACGCATACAATCAAATCAGGAATATATCATTTTTTATTTTTTAACAAATTGTCAGCAAGATGCTTGGCCTTCAGAAAATGTTCATGAGGTCAAACTAAATATTATATGAACTATTTCTGTGTTTTTTTTGTTTTCCTGCTTTTTAACTATTTAATTGCTTCAAGTGTATACTTAAATTATATTACATATAAGCATATTATAAACGTTTTTAAAATACGTTATACGTTATAAATAGGGTAAAGTTTGATCAATTGATCAAATACTTTGATCAAAGTAATTTTGCATAATAACTTGATCCGATTGGTCCTCCTTCTTGCATTTATTTTCGTACTGAATTGTGATTGGTCTTTTTTTAACTTGCAAATACGCATACAATCAAATCAGGAATATATCATTTTTTATTTTTTAACAAATTGTCAGCAAGATGCTTGGCCTTCAGAAAATGTTCATGAGGTCAAACTAAATATTATATGAACTATTTCTGTGTTTTTTTTGTTGCAAGACTTTTAACCCTATTAATACCCGATATTCAGTCACCAAATGGTGTTATATTCCCCGTTTTGTCTGATTTTTATTTTTGATCAGAAATAATAATAAATGAGACCAAATGTATTCAAATATATCACTGACGAGGTCAAAACCTCTAACTTGGATCAAAACACTGTTTCCTTTCTTAGTTAAAGGCTTCAAACTACATGTGCATGTTTATAATAAATATAGATTCTTCTATTTGCCAAAGTGTACATTTTTTTATCAGGTAGAAATTGTGCAGAAAGAAAAAAACATTATCCTTAACCATTATCCAGTAGCCTACATCACAAAGGACTGGAGAAGTAATGTATATTAATTGGTTAAAAAGATTAAATGAATAATCAGGTATCCATTGTTAGATAGGAAGTTAGACTAAACGAGGAAAAGGTATTTTCATACTTTAGCATAAAGGACAAAAGACCAGAGAAAACAAGCTTTTAATAAAGAAACTCTAACACAAGTTCAAGAACAATGGCACAAAAAATAATGTGCTCTTCGAGCAAAATCAGTTTTAACAAGACATTAAAATTGGAAAACAGCATCACATTTTCAGTGCTATTATTGGTTCAATACAGATACACCTATATTAACATTTAACACATTGACAACATTTAAGTGAAACAGTATTTACTGTCATTTTTCTTTCTCCAATCTGAACAAAGTTGTCTTATACAGCATACATCACCCACATTTGTGGAGATTCGCAGTACCTTTTCTATCAATCAGAGGTGTACCTTAAATGCACTCTTAAATGGCTTAAATATGTTTTATGCGATATCCTGCTTAGTGTAATATGTATATGTAATATGTAATATTAAATCCCTGATCCTCATTAAAAATGATCATTCAACAAAAGGCACTTTTGGAATGAGAAGACACATCTTCTGTAATCTGTCCCTTATTTGAAGGCTTAGTTCCTAGAAGTAAAAAAAATTGATCTTCACAGAATAGTAAAGTGTGACAAAACCATGTTTGAATGTTCATCATCCATGATCCATGTTCTTCTCTGTACAGTCATTATTGCCCATATATGGTCCTTTTTTTTTGCTTCAATTCTTTTTAGGTTGCTCAGGAAATAGTGTGTGATCCAAGTTACGAAAGAAAAAACAGCTCCTAATAGTAAATAAAGAAGCTAAATCAAGTCATTAGCACTGGACGGACTTAAGCATTTTTCTCTTTTTCTCATCGGCTTTGAAGGAGACACAATAATGTCATCAGAGTCGTCTGAATCGACGGTGTTTGGAATTTCATTGGCTTGTTGCTGTTGGTGGATCTTCAGGACTGCTTAATACCAACAAAATCATAGATTTTATTACACGAAATAGATGAATGATTATACTTTATGCATAAAGGTATCAGAGATTATTCAAAGATATACTGGTGTCTTGGACATACACTACCATTCAAAAGATTGTAGTCAGTAAGACTTTTTAATGCCTCTGAAAGATATTTCAGAGACAATATTTAATACATTTAAAAATAAATAATTCCTGTGATGAGAAAGCTGAATTTTCAGCATCATTACTCCAGTCGTCAGTCTCACACGATCCTTCACAAGTCATTCTTATATGCTGATTTGGTGTTCAGGAAACGTTTTATTAACACATTATTATTAGCAATTGAAAACAGTTGTGCTGTTTAATATTAATATTATATTTTTGGGAAACCATGATATTTTTGATATTCTGTGATAAACAGACAGTTAAAAAAACAACATTTATTTAAAACAGAAATCTTATAAATTACTTTCCTGTCACTTTTGATCAATTTAATGTATCCTTCCTGAACAAAAGTTATAATTTCTTTAAAAAAAAAAAGGTAGTGTAATAGGAATGAGTTACAGATATCCTGTATTCTAACCTGGTATTGAGCTCTTGTCATGTAGCTCTTGTCTTGTCATCTTATCATTATTAGCAGGATGTAGTTCCTCTGCAGTCTCCTCACTATTATTCTGAGTTACACCTGGAAGAGTATTACATTTAACATATTACAATAAACATTCAATACAAGTCAAGTCACGGTGCTTTAAAAGAGAAGTCAGTACAAGACATTATAAAGATAACCAGGTATGAATCTTTGTTTACAACATTTTTTTGGTTCATTAAAAGGTTTTAAACGTGAAAACCAACAAAGTCTTATTGATCCAAGACTAACAGGCAGGAATATTAGCAGCATGAGTTTAAATCGATCTCTTCAGCAAGAACAAAGCACATTATTTCAGATGAATAATCACCTGAGGTTTGTATTTTGTTAGCAAACACGGCCTGTGAGCAGCCTCTGGGCAGCAGTGGAGGAGTGGAGAGATACAGCTTCTTCTGATGTATGGAAGATGCAGACTGTGTCACTGCAGATGCTCTGCAATGTCAAGTCAACATATGGCTGTCAGGAGAACACCTGGCCATGCATGCAACCATATTCATTCAAACCAACTGTTGTGACTGCAGACTTGCATTCTCTCACCAGAACAATCACCTGTGCAAGGTTTATTTTCTGACTGTGAATCATAATGTAAATATGGAAGTGTGCAATAATAATTAATTGTCTAGTGTGTATCGATGTAGTAATTTAGTGTATACACTAACTATATCACCTGTCCATCGTCCGAGTGCTGCGTTTGAGATGAGCCCTAAAGACAGACTGCAGCAGAGTCACTTCCTCTTCCTGTACAGCCTGAGCATTCATTCCTGATTGGCTCTGAAACACATAGTCAAGAAGTTTCAAAGGAATTTTTTGACCATACATAGGGTTAAGCACAACAAATTAATTACCATGGTTTCTGGACAAGTACCATAATAATTTGATGTAACATCTGTAGCGACTCGGCTCATGAGGACATATGAATAATTAACCATAACTAGTTATAATTAATTATTCATATTTTAGATCCGCTGTAGATATTTAGCTGACCTCTCAGGGTCAACTGTCTTGTCAAGTCTAAGAACGTTAATTTCCTGGTTAAGGGAAATAACTTCCTTACTGTACAATTCTACAAAAGCTTGTAGCATAAATCTGTATGATTAAGTGACTCCAGTTATAAGCAAACAATGAACACGTCAAGTGTGATACAAGTAAGGTTTTATTAACTACATAAACACTTAAACTAGTCTAACATACTACATAAACACATAAACTGGTCTAACATACACATACACACACACACACACACACCATCATATAAAAAAAAGTAAAAATATATACACTACCGTACAAGTTTTTGAAAAATTATCTTATTCTCAACAACCATTTATTTAATAAAAACACAAAAAAAACTAATATTTTGTAATATTATTATAATTTAAAATATCACTTTTCTATTTGAATATATTTTAAAATGTAATGTATTCCTGTGATGGTAAAGCTGAATTTTCAGCATCATTACTCCAGTCTTCAGTGTCACATGATCCTTCAGAAATCACTCTAATATGCTGACTTGGTTCTGAAACATTTCTCATTATCATCATCAGTGTTGAAAACAGCTGTACAGCTTAATATTTTTGTGGAAACTATGATACGTATTTCATGATTCTTTGATAAATAGAAAGTTCAAAAGAACATTTATTTGAAATCTTTAGTAACATTATAAATGTATTTACTGTCACTTTTGATCAATTCAATGTATCCTTTATGAATGAAATAATTTCTTTAGAAATAAATAAATACACTAAATATATATATATATATATATAAGATTTGAAAGAAATATAGGATTTGATTTGACTAACTTAAGCACATCAACAACATATTATGCATAAACAAACTATGTATAATAAAACATCCCATCAAAAGGCCACAAATAGTTACCATGGCAACAGGGATGGTTTTTGGGTCTGCTTGACTCTGTCCATCTACCTGCCTCTGCCTGATTAGATGCCCTCTGAGACAGGACTGTAAAAGAACTAGATCCTAAGAGAAGGAGTAGAAGAATAATGAGGATATGAATAATCTACAGTCACTGTGGGTGTACAGTATGTCAATGTATTGTACCAACCTGTATTTGGTGTGAGCGCCAGTACGTCTGGATGATCTTAGCTGCTCTGTTCTTCTCTATCGGGATGACCGCTGATGACGACAATGGTTCTGTGAGTGTTAATGACAAAGAACCGTCCCGAACCTGTGAGATGAGAAACATGGATTTCATATGCATGAGTTGCCATCTGCACTTAAGTGAACTGTGTGTATACATTCTTAAAGAAAGAGTTTAAACGTTTTACCTGACTTGAATCTTGTAGTAATCTGAGTTTTCTTTCCTCCTCTAGTTTCTCTTTCAAACAGTTGATTTCTATGGTCAGTGCACCCATCTCTTGCCTGTAAATAAAACATGATATCTAAAGTGACTTTACTTACTTTTATTTTATTAATTTCCATGTTCATATTTATCATGATTCATCAATGCATGTTATTCTAAAAAGACAGAAAGTCAGTTTTCATAATCTTTCATCAAAATGTAATTCTTTTCTATTTCTTTGTAATGACTTTTCTTTTCTGCCCACATAACCAAGGTTGTTCACTCAGAAAAATGTCACAGAAATGTTACAGATATAAAATAATGTTTTGTATTCAACATAGATTAAACTCTTCCAACAATAACTACGGCAATAAATACATTCTAAAAAGGAGCACAAATGCGTTCAAATAAATCAGGGTTTAATAGCTTTTGAGTATCATCACATAAGAGATTCAGTCATGTGAGAACTCATGTAAGCATCTTCAAAAATGAGCAAAAACATCACCACACTAGTTTTAATTCATGATTCCTTCATTATGTTTATATTACAAACCTGTGTGTTTGCATCAGTCCCTCATGCTTTCTGATTTGTTCCTTCAGCACGTTTTCTACCTCTTTCAGACTCTTATCCTTCTCAGCAGACAACTGCTTTATCTCCTCGCTAATAAGAAATAAAAAATATTTTCAATCAGAATTGCTCTTAAATAGTTCAGAAAACAAAATATGAGAAATATTTCTGAATTTATTTCAAATAAATCCAGTTTTTTTAATCTTTCTATTCATTAAAGAATCTTGAAAAAAAATCACAGTCTCCTTAAAAATATTAAGCAGCACAAAGGTTTTTCTTTTTTTTACATGGGTTATAATATAAATCATTTCTTGAGCACCGAATCAGCATATTAGAATGGTTTCTGAAGAATATGATATTGTGATATTTTTAATATATTCACTCTCTCTGGGTTAGTTTTTCCTGTAGTTCCTTTTTCTCTTCTCCAAGCTTCTTAACTGCTTCCCTCAAATGCACATCATTCTCTTTAATCACAGATGGCTCCATCTCTGTGTTGACAGAATCACTCTGATTGGACGATTCTGACTCAGTGCTTTTATTGTCTGGGCTCTTCTGTGAGTCTGATGCTTTAGTGATCTGAAGATTCTTCATCTGCTCAACTCTCTGAAAAACAAGTAAACTACATTCACATGTACATTCTACATGTTTAATGTAAACATTTAATGTAACATATACACACATGCATGTATATGTATGTATGTATGTATGTATATATATATATATATATATATACGCATATATATATAAAAAAAACCTTTTCGAGCTCCAGGATTCGGCGCACAAGTCTCTGTTTACTCCAATCCATATAACCTGTAAACATAAAAATACTGACTGAATTTAGCCCTGTGTGCAGGAAATACTAAATGCTTAAAACTTCTTTTTGGCACATTTAAACTAGGAGACCAGCTGGCCGGTTGGCCAAACCAGTTAAACACCAAATTGGCCAGGTCAGGAGACCAGCTAAGACCAGCTAACTATCTTAGGCTGGTTTAAGTGAGCTTTTTCAGCAGCTGTCTGTAGTAAATGACGTTTGGTGAAATAGTGTTTCCAGTTCTACAGTAAATCTAAGTTTAAATGTGCTTTTGTAAATTGAAGTACCCTTGGCTCGGCACGCAAGGCTGTCCATCATGTTCATCTCTTCCAGTGTCAATTCTTTTTTGAGCTCCTGGTTCTCGTTCTCCAGGTGTTGGACAGTGTTTGTGAGTTTCAGAACCGTTGCACTAAGGGTCTTATTCTGCCGCCTGATGTTTTTGCTCTCTGCCTTATTACTGAACAGAGAAAAAGAGAGTGAGAAAAAGACTAAACCCAAACACAAGCTCAAAGGGACCATCAAATTACAAGTAAAATTAACAATGTTTGCACCTTCTTTCAGTTGACTCCAAAAGTGCTTGCAATCTTTGAACCTAAGCATGAAAAATACATTTGTATTATAATTACATTTTTATTAATTTTAAATAAAAACACACAGAAGTTTTATATATATATAGAGAGAGAGAGAGAGAGTAATGTAAAATACCTCTTCAAAGTAGGTTTCCACAGTGATCTTCATTTCCTGCATGTTGGTAGTTTTGAGGTCACTCTGAAGCTGACTGTAATGGCAAATTCATTCTTCAAAACACAATTCATCATTTTAGATACTTTAACTTTAACATACACTGGGGTCCATAAGTATCTAGTTTTTAATCAAATAAAAAAAAACGGGAAAACCAAGTAAAAATTTAAATAGAAATACATCATTTTCACAAGAATGTCACTAGAATAAGTTATGATTTTACAGCCTGTACAAAGAAGTATAAGATTTTTAGACTCCACTTAGCCAGTAACACTTAAAGGGATAGTTCACCCAAAAATGAAAATTAGATGTTTATCTGCTTACCCCCAGGGCATCCAAGATGTAGGTGACTTTGTTTCTTCAGTAGAACACATATGATGATTTTTAACTCCAACCGTTGCAGTCTATCAGTCGTATAATGCATGGCAATGGTAACAAAATCTATGAGAGTAAAAAAACATACACAGACAAATCCAAATTAAACCCTACGGCTCGTGACGACACATTGATGTCCTAAGACACGAAATGATCGGTTTGTGCCAGAAACCGAACAGTATCATTTTTTACCTCTAATACACCACTATGTCCAACTGTCTTGTGTTGGACATAAATGGTGTATCTTCTTGTGTACGCGCTCTGGCGTAGTTTACGCAAGCGCCGGCAGTGATCTCTCACGCATATACGTCACTCATTGTTTACACAGTGCACAGTCATTGTAGGTACGAAGGCTAATCAAAATGGTACTTACTTGCACTTATCCGGATTGTACAAACCGACTTAAAGCTAAAAGATTACACAAACCGATCGCTTCGTGTCTTAGGACATAAATGTGTCGTCACGAGCCGTAGGGTTTAATTTGGATTTGTCTGTGCATGTTTTTTTTTACTCTCATTGATTTTGTTACCATTGCCATGCATTATACGACTGATAGACTGCAACGGCTGGAGTTAAAAATCATAATTTGTGTTCTACTGAAGAAACAAAGTCACCTACATCTTGTATGCCCTGGGGGCAAGGGTGTAATTTTGGTTTGAGAAGTGGGGGGGACACAAAATGGGGGAAAATGTTTTCGATTTGAATCCCATTTCCTGCATGTACATACATTTAGGGACTATGGTGATACAAAATCCAGGAAATAATTAAGTTGATTAATGATCAATTCTGGCAAAAAGAATAGTAGGCTACTAAACTATGGATAAGAAAAAGATGTCTTACTTTCTTTAATGTTTAATAGGGGTCGATCGCCAAGACTTGAGAGAATCATTTTATAAAGTCGAAAATGTTCACCATTAATGTTTTGAATAATGTTTAAATAATGTGAGACTCATTTTCCACTGTTAAACAAACTTTTATTTCAAACTATCCGCTGTACCTGAAAATATAAAATAAATCACTTGTTGCACAGGACAGAATGTTCTACAGCAGTGGTTCCCAGACTTTTTAGAGTGGAGTACCCCCTGAAGCATTTCTGCGTACCCTCTCTTCCACTTAGACTGCACCTTGTCCATTAAAGGACAATACTTGTCCCCTAAATTGACTTTCCAATGCATTTTTTATCTTTATAAATAGAATATTAATGTTTAAAAAAATGTTCAATAGATTAATATACAATGATGATAAAAAAGTGAAAAGTGATTCTTTTAAATACTAAAAGCGCCAGTAGCTAGCGGTAAGTCACTGTCTTAATGCGTGAGTCATCGAGTCATTTATTCATTCGGTAACTAAGCAAGTGGCTGTATTTATAAATGAATCATTGAATCAATGACTTTCGCGAATGATTCGTTCACGAAACACCGCAATACTCAGCATTTTGTTTGCGTACCCCTTCTGTCGCCTCGCGTACCAAAGTTTGGGAACCACTGTTCTACATTAAATATTTAGCTAACAACAGTCTGTTACCTAGCAACAGTTTATGTTAACGTTAGCTCAGTCAACGTAGGCTAACATTAACAGGTGTAGACAGAAAATATGATTATCCTGACCTGAGCTAATTTACTGAATCAACCAACTCACATCTCCTTTCTTTCTTTCTTTCTTTTCATCTATGATGACATTAAAGTCATCTGTTGCTGCTTCTGGTGTTTCATCGCTGATTGTGCCGCAACCGCGATACCCGCTCATTAGAACTTTCAGTGAGCTATTTTTAGAGTGTGCACGCGACGTTCCTGGACGCCCTGCTCTGTCCTGCTCCTCCGTGGCGATGACGCCGTGCGGTAACTGGGGTTAAAAAAATTCATAACAAACGAATTTGAAAGTGGGGGGTACACAAACGTAATTTTGAAAAGTGGGGGGGACATGTCCCCCTGTCCCCAGTGGAAATTACGCCCCTGCCTGGGGGTAAGCAGATAAACATCAAATTTTCATTTTTGGGTGAACTATCCCTTTAAGCTATAATGAAGTTTATTCATGCTGTATTGATTCACCATAACATGATTAATTGCATGACAGTATAATATAAATTAATTTGGCATCAGACCTTAAGGCATTTTCTTTTTCTTTGCACTGCTGCTCCAATCGTAGAATCCTCTGTTTCAGTCCGTTAATGATCTGGTGTGTTCAAAAAAAGAGAAACACATTTTTCATATTATATCATTCATCAAATTAAGAATCATTGATCTGATGAATTGTGATTGTAAGGTTGTGTGAGATGTTTATAATGGCATACTCACTGATCTAAGATCAGTCTTTCTGTCCACTAAACCCCTTGCATACTCTGGGTCCTATATTATCAACACAAAAATAATTATTTCACAATATACATTTAGTTTACACTTTATTTCAAGGCGTCCTTGTTACAGTGTAATTATACATTTAAGTACTGAGTAATATTAGTTAACTACATGTACATATTATATGGTTAGGGTTAGGATTAGGGTTTGGCTTAAGGTTAGGGTTACTTGCATGTAATTATGCATATTATTTGTTTATTAACAGTAGGTACATGTAACATGTGTAACAAGTACACCTTAAAATAAGGTGTTACCAATTTTTTTTAAATAAATAAGCTCTGAGAGAACACCTTTAATTTTCACTATGTTCAAACTTTTGAGGTCAGTATTACTTTTTGTGTTTAGTGTTTTGGAAAGAAGCCTTTTATGCTCAAAAAGGCTGCAGTAAAAAAATACAGTAAAAAGCATTCATTATGTGAAATATTATTTCAAATGAAAATAACTGTATTCTTCTATCACATGATCCTTCAGAAATCTGATTTGGTGCTCAAGAAATACGTCTTATTATTATCACAGTTGAAGTTCTGCTGCTTAATATTAATATTTTTGTGAAACATTTTTCAGGATTCAGGAAGCATCAATAGAACAGCATTTATTTGAAATAGTTTTTTTTAACAATCTATAGTCTCTATTGTCACTTTTAAACAATTAAATGCTGCATCCTTCCTAAATAAAAGTATTAACTTCTTTAATTTAATTTTAAAAATGGCAATGACAATGCCACCCTGTAAATAATGTTTTTTTAGATTTCACGACAATCAAGTTTGTCATTCAAGAAATAATGTTCTTTTCAATTACAAAGTATAAACGCATAATGGCTGCTTGCTTTTGCAGTTATGCTACAGTGTTGTTTATGCGTGTGATGTGAAATTCATTTCAATTCAATTCTACATTCACACTAAACTACTCATTTCCGCAATAAGGTGACGTAATCATGCTTATCCACTATTCCAGCTCATCTCTGCTTCTGGATTTGCTGAGGTTTGTTCGTCACCTTCACTGGATCCAACAGCTGTTCGATTTGTCTGTCTTTCTTAGTGCTTTCTTCTTCAAGACGCCGCAGCTTGGCTTTCATCTTGTCCGATTCAGCCTTTTGGGACTGGACGGTCTGAGAAAATGGAGAGCAAACACATGGTGCATGAAATTTCAGTATGCATACCTCTGCTTCACATATGGGAAAGTACAAGAGTACATCCACCTTAACAGACAAAATTTGCAATACTAGTACTATTGCTAGTATTATGCAATACTAATACATCTTAAGCACTATTTCCTCCACTTGAATTGCGGGTAATATTAGCCCAAAACACTTGTATAGATACACATTTCCTAAAAATCCAGCAAAAATATTAGACCATCCAGGAACATCTGGGAAACTATTTTTAACAAATTATGATTTGGGACACACTAATCCGAACCACTAATCCCTGATATACATATAGGACAGATCGTATGACAATTGAGATAAAGCAAATTCTTTGAAAACATGCTGTCTGATGTAATCAAATTTCTAAAAACACATCCTCAAAGGCACTCATACGTCAGCGAGCGAGTGTGCGAGAGGTGAACTTCACCTTTTTTAGATCAATTATTTCATCATACATTTCCTCCTTATCTTTGAAGTCTGGGGTCCCTGGAACATAACCTGACAAAGAATTGTAAAAAATAATAACATGGTGACAAAAATTAAAATAATAATAACTGTGAAATGGACAATTCAGGTTTAAGTCTATAGATAGTTTTATCTCACCGTTGGATGCAGAGCAGGAATATTTTGGCTTTTTCATTCCTAAGGCCTCCTTCAAGTATTCAGGGGTGCTGGTTATTGAGATGCTGGTCTGCGTGACACTGTAATCCGCACCTTTTGGAGACTTTGACAATGTCCCTGAAGTATACAAATTTTTACTTTTTGATAAAGTAAACCTCAGTTGTTTCATTTTTACAATTATACTAGGTCTTTTACTTGCTAAAAAGTATGCACTATCAATGAGAGGATGGAAGGCATGTACAGGTAGTAGACTGTGTACAACAGGTTTTTTCAGCAAGGTTTTGATCATGTTGATAAATTAGAAATTCATTTTTCAAATATGAAACAGTAGGCTTTACAGGAATACATTACATTTGCATGTCTTTCAAATGCATATAGCTAAGCATTTTGATCCTGAGCCAGTGTTTCTCAGTTACCGATCCAATATTAAAAGAGCAAAAGGTTTACGACCTTCGAATGTGATTTCTGTGATAGTCAGCTATTTAAGTCATTTTTAAATATCTTTAAAACGAGATTTTCTGAGAAGCATAACAGCAATTTACATCTTATAATGTAAACTTATCTACATCTTTTTCAGTAGAAGATACATAATTGAAAATGGTAAAATGCAGAACACAGTGTAAAGTTTTAGCCACATTATTTAAAAAAAAAGGGACAGACCATTCCCATCATTCTGTAAGTGTAGCCAGACATCCTTTGGTGTACCAGCCGGAGAGGTTTTATAGTTTTGGAGCTGTGTCCCTTTCACTGTCCTCCATGATGCTACTGGAGTTCTCTTCAGATGCAAGTTTGCACTATTCAGGTATGGTGACCCTTTATTTAAAGAAAATGATCTATTATTTAAAAAGCATTTTTGTAGTGTATATAGTTGCATTAGTACTCCATAATTAAATGAGCAAATACAGAAATTTTCACAATTTTTATGCTGTGTTGATACAGTCAGTTTTGAGGGTAATGCATTACAAATAACACAAGTTACGTAATCAGATTACTTTTTTAAGTAACTAGTAAAGTAACACATTACTTTAGAAAATATCTGAGTTACTTAGTTTTTTTTCCATTTATTGACTGACAGCTCTTCTGTCCCCATCCCCGAAGAGAAATCGGGAACAAGCGCAGATGCATTGTGTGTACTGTGCAAACATGATGGTTACCGTAGTTCTAGAATAAATGTGAACATGCATTTACTTATCTCACCTGCACAAAAAAAGATTCATTATTTCGCAAAATGAACAAAAACCGTGAAATGCAAAACTGCAATAAATAAATACGTTAAATAACATAAATATCCCATTTTATTAATCGCTAACATTCGATAATCCAATTCAACCATACTAATAAGCAAAAATGACTTTAGATAAACATAACATTTGTGATTCATTTTTGTATTGCTGAAGAAAGAAAAATGAGCCCAGCCCAGATGATAAAAAGTAACGCAAAAGTAAAGTAATACATTACTTTCCATAAAAAGTGACTAAGGTAATGCAATTAGTTACTTTTTAGGGAGTAACGCAACATTGTAATGCATTACTTTTAAAAGTAACTTTCCCCAACACTGGATACAGTAATACACAGATGGTAACATTTGTGTGGCAGGCATGGAAATGCAATAGATCTTAAACTTATTTCTAAATCTTACACTTACTAGGAGAAGGATGTGGTCTGCCTGAAACTTTCTTTTTTCTTGATTTCTAAAAAGAAATCCAACAATCAGACACATGGATATAGTACCTTTTGGCACAAACATTCAAAGATTGAAGAATGAAAGATTCAGTAAAACTAAGTAAACAGGCTGGCCTAAAATCTGGGGGGAGGGGGATAATATTTAAAAAATGTCCATCTCACCTTTTCAGTGTCGGACACACAGCTGCTACAAAGACTGTCCTCTGCCTTGAAAACAAATTATATATATATATACTACTAAGTAGTATATCAAATTGTAATACCATTAAACGTCAATATAACCAATGTTCCTAAATAATGATTATCATATTCATATGACATGGTATTTGCATAACTTTCTGCAAGAGGTGGTATCTCAAGACATACTCTCACATAGTACATCTCCAAAAATCATGGTATTGTATGGTATTTTTGTTAATGTTACAGTCCAGAACATCTATGAAAACTGTTAATGTACTTACCAGATCCTCTACCTCCTCTTCAGTGACAAGTTCTCCAGCTACTACAGACATTATAGCTTTTGCGATGGCCTGTTTTTATTTTATCATCACCTTTTACAGACAATAGGACCATAATACTTTCTCGTGGAGGTACGACTTGTAGTGTCCGAGTAGGTTATTATGATGCAGCAGGAAATCTTATTTTTCTCATGTCAAAGAGTCGTGTCAATCCTAATATAAAACAGCATAAAAGAGCATTGACATGGGTAGGGGGTCTTAAGAAGAAGCTCCCAAGATGCAGCTGTTTCCTGATGTCGCCGTTATGAAAAGCAGCAGCTCCTACGTCGATATGGTGTGTAAACGCTACGGAGTAAACAATACTAATAACATAATAATATTGCTCTGCGTCGCTTCGCGTCTCTCTTCGCTGTACGGGTGTAATGTGCATTATTGTCGTCTAGCAACCAAAACGTTGAACATGACAATAGTCAGCAAATGAAACGTGCTCATGTGCGTCAGCTCTGCGCAACGCTTGCGCACACCGTGATTGAGCGCTCGCCTGTTTGAAGTACAGCTCCATTCGCTGAATCAAATTATGTAGTTTGTGAATTCTTAAAATACCACTTGGTTCTTTCTATCTTTTCTTTTTTCGATAGACAGGCGTTTTATGTATCACTTATGCCTACTTGAAACTGTACTCAAAAAATCTAACATTGTATACATTAGCCTAGCCTTTTGTGTGCCATAACAGTGTGACAGACAGACAATAGACAGACAAATAGATAGATAGATAGACAGACAGACAGACAGACAGATAGATAGACAGACAGACAGATAGATAGATAGATAGACAGACAGACAGAGCGTTTTATGTATCACTTATGCCTACTTGAAACTGTACTCAAAAAATCTAACATTGTATACATTAGCCTACCCTTTTGTGTGCCATAACAGTGTGACAGACAGACAATAGACAGACAAATAGATAGATAGATAGACAGACAGACAGACAGATAGATAGATAGATAGACAGATAGACAGATAAATAGATAGACAGACAGACAGATAGATAGATACTGTCTGCTGTTGTTATTTTTATTGTGTTTATTTATTTTCTCATTTATTGCTTATTTATTGTCTCCTTTATTGCTTTGGTGGTGTAATTATTCTGTATTTTACACATACTTAAAATGCTTTGCTTATAGACAGACAATAGATAGATAGATAGATAGATAGATAGATAGACAGACAGACAGATAGATAGATAGATAGATAGATAGATAGATAGATAGATAGATAGATACTGTCTGCTGTTGTTATTTTTATTGTATTTATTTATTTTCTAATTTATTGCTTATTTATTGCTTTGGTGGTGTAATTATTCTGTATTTTATACATACTTAAAATGCTTTGGCAATAGCCTACTATAACACAAATGTCATACCAATCATTTATTGCTTATTTATTGTCTCCTTTATTGCTTTGGTGGTGTAATTATTCTGTATTTTAAACATAATTAAAATGCTTTGGCAATAGCCTACTATAACACAAATGTCATACCAATAAAGCAACTTGAACTAGATAGATAGATAGATAGATAGATAGATAGATAGATTAGATAGATAGATAGATAGAAAAGTAAGCTTTCTAGTATGGCTGAAGGGTTATTCTCCTAGAAAATAAAGTATCTGACAAACAAATGTATCAAATTAAATAGGGGGGGGGGGGAAAAAAGGACATTCAGATGCTTCAAGATTTCAGTGATAGTCATTAAAATAATGTTACAGAAAGAGGAAACAGTGAACAGCTGCAGCGCTGCAGGGGACATAATCCTGCTCTGCTGTTATAATTTCATATTTAATGGTAACTGTGGGGAAAAAGCAGAGCCTATGCCACTGCTACATTACATTACCACACGTGATGATGGAGATGGACTTCTCATAGATGGATTTGGTCTGGGGATTACTTGAGTGTATTAAAAGCCACCTGTTACAATCTCTCCAATAATTTATCTAAAACTATGATTATTTATTCAAATAAGAGGCTATTCTGTCAATGAGTTTGTAACGGCGGTGTTTGCATGTGTGACCTGAGTCACCCTCTCTGCTTGAATCTAGTTATCAAGCAGCTCTATTGCAAAGCTTTTAAAGTCTGTGCGAATACCCTAAATCTTTCGCCAGGCCACTCTCATTATTATAACCCAGTTACGTAAGCTTTAATTCCAGCTTGCCTTCCAAGAGGCTGTGATGGTTTTTTTAAAGAGGTCCTATCCTCTTAAGGTGATTAATGGTAATATGTGTGTGTTGAGGGATGCAAAGAGAAGGGGAGGGAAAGAGCAACGTGAGAAAGAGAGAAAGAGGGAGGGAGGGAGAGAGATGAGACTGAGATCTGATCTGCTGGTGTTATGCAGCCACAGTCAGATGTTAAGCATGAAAAGGGCAGTCGAGGTGCGAGCCAAGGTCTTTCTGGGATACTGAAGATAGCTTCATACACATCGGCAATCTTGTAAGTAATGAGAAATCTTAAAATCACTTCACTCAAGAAAAGCAATCATTACGTTCTTGTGTGAGCTTGTGCATTTCATAGAGAGTAATTTTACATGTGCATTCATGTTTGACGTGCAGTAGACTACTAAAAATAAAGTACTAAAAAGGTATTTTAAAGTATATTGCTTTTTAGATGTAATGTTTCACTGGAGGCTTTTTAAAGTGCAAAGACATATATTTATAATTCAAGGCATACTGATTTCAGTGCTGTGATTCAAGCTACATTTTTGTATTATAAAAGAGCATTAAATCAATGTTGAATGTGCTTTGTCATAGATATAGCTATACGTGTGTTATAATAGCAATTTCTCATCTTTGTTTCACAGACCTGTGCATATCAGTGTTCAATCAAAACTTGAGGATCACCTGAAATCACCCATTGCCCCAGTGACAAGGTAACGAATCCTATTTTCACAAAGAGCTTACAGACCCTAATTACACACTGAGACATGAGAGATAGACAGAAGAAATTCGATACCTATATGTAGAGTAAACACTGAATCAATTAGAAATACAACAAATAGAAATAAATTATGTTAAAAATGCCAAATGGCAAAATCACAACTCTTGCCTTACATGTATCTATCAGTAAGCATCATGCACAATACATATAAATCATCTCACTGTTATTTATACACAAAAAAGCCATGGTCGTTCATTTCAAGCACTGATGTGAAATAGGTCACTTTGTTCTACAGAAGATTAAAACGCTTCAGTTAAACCATATTGGAGATGATTCTAAATCCATCACAATATTCACTGTATGTTTTTTAGTGATTTGCATGAGCATTATATAATACAAAATGGATATTGAATTTTCAGTTAATCAACCACAGTTATTTCAAATGTGAAATCATCTTCTAATGTCCAGAGTAAAAATAACTGACTATAGCAAATAACAGACTTTTTGTTTCGGTGGGATCTGACCCTCAATATTCATATAAATAAGTTTATATCACATGTTTGGGGTTGGTATGATTTTTTGATAAGCATAAGTCTCTTATGCTCACTAGAGCTGCATTAATTTATATACTGTAAAAACAATAATATTGTGACACTAAATTTGATGTATTTTAAATTTTATAATAATTAATGTATTCCTCTGATGGAAACGTTGACTTTTCAGCAGCATTACTCCAGTCTTCAGTGTAACATGATGCTTCAGAAATCATTCTAATGCTGATTTGTTGCTCAAGAAACATTTCTTATTATTCTCAATGTTGAAAACAGTTGGGCTGCTTAATAGTTTTGTGAAGACTGTAATGCAGTTTTTAAGAATTCTTTGATAAATGCGTTCAAAAGAACAGCATTTATTTGATATAGAAATCTTTTGTAACATGGTAAATATCACATTTGATCAACTTATTGTGTCCTTGCTCTGGCCCCAAGCTCTTTTGGCTGACTTTGCACAAAAAGCCAGTCTGGATGGAGCACAATGAACCTCAAGAAATTATGCCATTAAAGTTTTCCATAGAGCTTTTCAACAATTTGACCCTCCTGAAAGTCACTGAATAATTTGAACTCTGTTAATTAAACCTGTGCATTTGTTGTCAGGTGCGAAAATGCATCTAGGTCAGCAAAACCCTGTGGTGGATGGGCTATCCTTAAAGGAACTGGGGGACAGTGTGCTGGTGGAGCTAGAGCTTCGAAGGAAAGGACTGCCATTTCTCAAACATGTGGAGTACCGTATTGTTAGCAAGGTAAACTCAATTTGTACTTATATATGCCATTCTGTATTCCCTATACAATATTAACTACTTCATTGCTTTTACTTTATATAGTGTTTCCAGATCCCGGTTCAGCGCAGGTACAGTGATTTTGAGCTGTTCCATGGTCTGCTGCTGCAAAAGTTCATCTACAGGAAGGTCCCGCCTCTGCCCCCCAAACGCATCCTTAAAGGAGGTGAGGAGAACTCTCTGCAAATGAGTTTGTTTCTTAAATCTACACTCTTATGTAACTAAAACTCAGTTTTTTCTCTCTCTCCTGCTCATTTTCAGTTTTGAACTCAATGTCAGACCGAGAGTTCAATGATAGCCGCCGCCGTGGTCTACAAAGGTTTATGACCTTGGTGATTAGACATCCAGTCCTGGCAGGAGATGAGCTGGTCAACATCTTTCTGTCAGCAAGCAGCACGGTAAGCCCTTCAACCAGCAGATGGCAGTATAATTAATTCATATTTTGCCCAAACATGATAATTGTTGTTTGTTTCGAAGTTGAATAAAATAGGGGTTCATAACATTTCATCCTTTTTGTGTGTTGCAGGAGGTTCAAAATATGCTGCGTGATGCATATAAAAAGACAGGTGATGAGTTTCTGACCTCCCAAATGGCCTTGCATGGCAAGGTGGGTAAAAGCTAACATGAAATTAAAATACCATGATATTCTTTGAAAAAACATGTAAATATCATGGTATTATTGGTATATATCACAGAACCACTTGTACCAGTGTATCACCACAGTACCTTTTGAAAGTAAACTGACACACAAAATGAATATTGCATGTCATTTTTTAAGGTGTACCTACCTGAGGACATACAGACCCAGGCTGCCGCTAATCGAGAGGTCATTGCAAATATCCACAGCAGCTTCAATAAACTCAGAGATGTAGCTGAGCGCATGGCTCAGCGTTCACGGGAGAACTCAACAGATCTGCTCATGTTTGGCAAAGACCTGAGGTGAACACACCATACTGAACTTGAATATATATTTAAAAAATATGGTAATATTTATAATTATTAATTTAAGTTAAACATAAATGATGAAATATGGAATTTAATTAATTGATTTGAATATAAATATTACGTATCAACATTTGAAAGAAATGGAGTGAACAGGTGTGATATAAAAAATACCCACGAATGTACATAGCTAACATGTACAATGTGCAAAAGTTTGTCATGATCTGTTGATATTAATGTTAACATTAATTTATGAATTATTAAGTA